TAGTGGTGCCTTGCTATAGCAGTAGGCTCGCTGGGGATTTTGGGGTTGATTTGATGATATTCTCAGTCTGGTAATGTTTCTGATTTCTCATCATTTGTTTCCTGTCACTTATTTTCATTTTTGCTTCGCCTCCCCTTAAGAAAATCAGTCAAACTTGTGGCTTCAAAAATGGTCGACTAAGTACACCAACCCTTTACTGCCATTTATCTGGTTGTCACCGGAAGTCCAATATATTTTAGAAAACATCCATTCATCCATTACCTGCCGCTTACCAGGGGTCAGGGTGGTGGGGGCAGCAGTCTAAGCAGGGAGGCCCCAGCCTTCGACTGCTACGTGAACTACTATACACCTGACCCCACAGCGCCCCCACAGGAGGATGGACCCCTCACTCTGGCTGCTCACCCAGGACCAATTTGCCCCGGGAGACCCTACCAGGGGCAATCGCCCCCGACAACGCTATAATCAGAGAGGTGCACAAACCCCTCATGGAAATTCATGGAAGGGGGAGAAGCAAAATACAGCGCTCACAGAAAGTCACAGGATGCTTACTTAATTCAGTAAAAATATTGCAAATTTACTGGTTTCATAACGAAATCATTACTTTATTCTTTTGTTTACAAAAATATATATCACATTAGAAACAACCGGTAGTTTTAAGTAAAACATTCATTTCAAGTAGTAATAAATTGAAACCCAAATTATAGGTCTTCTGAGTTAAAAAGCTCATTGACAAGCAGTCTCACTGGGTGCTTTTTAATTAGTAACACCAAACACGACATAAAACACCAAACATTTGTGTTTAATATCCCTTTGGGAGCTAGTGACTACAATCGCAATTAATAGCAAAATTGCAGGAACAGAACTGAATGAGACAGTCAAAAAAATTATGGCACTTAATAAATAGAAAAAAATCTGCATATATCTTCTGCACGGATATGTTAAACCTTGCTTGTCAATGGACTTTTAGTTTCATAACACATAAAAGCATCCAAGACTTTGTGAGCACTGTAGTGTAAGGAAGGTAAAGGTTCATGGAGATATGTAGGTGAAGGCGGAGAATGCAGACTGGGATCGTAGTGATCATAGTGCAGAAATTATTAATAAATTAAAAAGACTAAAATGAAGACCAAAAAAGATGCACCGCTGTGGGATGGAAAACGTGTTCACTGCTAGCAGCCAGCCTCCAAAGCACGTTTCCGCATGGGCACACACAGTCAAAAATTGGTCCTTGCTGTTCCCAGTCTTTGTTTCAGATGGTGATATATTTAGTCAAATGACTCTGGTCAAAGTGAAGCCTTGGATGAACTGCATCCGAATTTTTGTGCCTCACCAATGGCTTGTTGGTGGATATACTGCTGACACCCATCTTCTGTACAAAGGCAAAATGCAAAAATGCAGCAAAAAATTGGTTATTAGTAATGCTCTGTAATGTAGCTAGCTTAAGCTTTGTAATAAAACGAATGTTTCAACTCATGTGAGCTGAAGAACCAGAGCTTAAGTTAACATATAATATTATAAATATGCTATGGTTAAAAACATTGTTTAATGCGCTCAGAAATGCTACATGCCATTTGCTATGTGCGCTCGCCAGCTGTTATGCACACTGGTTTTAGCCAGTGTAAACGCAGCTGGTTCTCGGGTCCCAGTGTCAATGCGGCCAGTTCTCGGGTCCCAGTGTCAATGCGGCCGTTTCTCGAGTCCCATTGTAAGTGCAGCCGGTTCTCGGGTCCTATTGTAAGTTCGGCCAGTTCTCGTGTCCCATTGTAAACGCGGCCGGTTCTCGGGTCCCATTGTAAGAGCGGCCGGTTCTCGGCTCCCAGTGTAAACGCGGCCGGTTCTCGGCTCCCAGTGTAAACGCGGCCGGTTCTCGGCTCCCAGTGTAAACACGGTTATTAGTAATGCTCTGTAATGTAGCTAGCTTATGCTTTGTAATAAAACGAATATTTCAACTCATGTGAGCTGAAGAACCAGAGCTTAAGTTAACATATTATATTATAAATATGCTATGGGTAAAAACATTGTTTAATGAGCTCAGAAATGCTACATGCTAGTTGCCATGTGCGCACTTGCCAGCTGTTATACACACTTAGTTTACAAAGCTGGTTCTCGGGTCCCAGTGTAAACACAGCTGGTTCTTGGGTCCCAGTGTCAACGCGGCCGGTTCTCGGGTCCCTCTGTAAGTGCGGCCGGTTCTCGGGTCCCTCTGTAAGTGCGGCCGGTTCTCGGGTCCCTCTGTAAGTGCGGCCGGTTCTCGGGTCTGTTACTTTATCACCACCAAAGATCCTGTCGGCACTGGCGCCACCAACAGCACAGTACTAATGGAAAAGAGGAATAAGTGGGGTAACGCTGGCATTGTGTGCATACCCCTCCCCTGGCACGCTTCATGCACTGTGCTTACCCCCCGGGGCTCCAGCCATTGTTGACTCTCTGTAAACACTCACCGCTAATTGGGTGGTGTGGATTTGCAGGCAGGAACAAGGGACCTTTTGAAAAGGAAAAAATATGTGAGCGCTGTCCCCAGACAAGTAAACAGCCCTTAATAAACAGCTATTATCAGCTGTCAAGGAGGCTGCTGGGTGGCAGGGGGAGCAAGCTGGGAATGCTTTTTATTTCTAAACAATTACCAATGGGGCTTTATTTACAGTTTAGGAAATTTGTTCTTGTGTTGCAGGGATGCGGCAATCATCAGAGCCAGTTTAGAACATCTGGTAAGTTCTATTTTTCCGTGCCGAATTTGCATCGTCTTTGATACCCTTATCTGAAATGAATGCCCTGGAATGGGATTTGAACACCTTGTTTTCAGAGTTCTGCCCCCAACCCCTCCTCCCCAGGAGGGCCAGTCCCACTTTGATATCTCACTGACATTTGCACTTTCATTTGTCCAATACTCCCTCCCACAAAAAGAGACCCCACCTCCCTAACCCCCACCTGTCTGGTGGGGTGTCCCTGGGAGTTTGTGTTTTCCCTGCCTCTCTCTGTCTCTCTCTCTCTATCTCTTTTTAGGTTTAAATGGTGTTTTGATGTGGAGACGAAATGGTGGGGGAGGGCAAAGGGACGTGTCACCTGACGCACATGTGAAGTGTGATGTGCAGTTATCTGGCGCTCGGATGGGGTGCTGCCCCTGATTCGGGAGGCCCGATGAGCTGCTGTTCTGCCTCGCATTAGCTGAGGGCTTCTCCGTTGGCCCTGTGGCTCTGCTCGGCTCTCAGGCACAGCAGACCCTGGTCTTACTCCCTTAAGGGTGCTGCTGAACTCTTAAAACTTTAATGCTTGGCATTTTGAGAATTTTTGACATTCTATAATATGGGTCAAAGTGCCTTATAGCAAAGTAAATTTTTTTGGGGTAGGAACTGAAATTCCTGGTGCCTTTTTTCTGGGGATGAATTATTGAGTGGGGTCAGTGTGGGGTTCCGCCCATCAGGATGTAAAGTCACCTCCCTCACTTTCACCTGGCCACCCCACACCTCGCATAATAAATGCCCCTCCCTCATCCAAAGCCCTCATGCATGTTGCTCTTCAAAGTGTCTAATTAAATAGCCCCCATGCACTCCTTCAAAACTTTGGCACAGTTTGAAATTTCCCCCAGATTGTCTGTGTTTGTGGTCACCCCACCTTCACTTGTTCATTAGGCATTTTCCCACCAAAGTTCAGGAACCTGGGTTGCGGCTTTTATAGCTTCTGGCCGCTTCTGTTTATCGCGTTCTCACCGCATAACCAGAACTGTGACCTTTATGCTAAATAAGCATAGGAGACACAAGAAGCTCGTTGGTTAAATTTCACACGTAATTTCATGTGAAACTTCACCACCACCACAATGAAGGATGAACCAAGTCAGTTTTGTTAGTTACTGGGGGGATGGTCCGAATTTACGGGACAGATTTATATTATATTTCACTGTTAAATCAGTGCACAGAATAAAAATGATTATGTAAAAAAAAGAAGATAAAAACATTATCCTGCTAATAAGTGTTGCTGAGTTTCGCTGCTGGCACTGATGATATTAGACAAGTATTTCAGTTATCGATCAAATTTTCCAATACACAAATATAGAGACACAAGCAAAACAACTGTATTAATGAATGTATTTAATTTAATTGAGATTCAAAAATAATTCCGCATTCCACCTGCTCAGTTTTTGCTCCCGTACATCTAATTTCCCTGCACTTCTGTTTAATTTCCAAGTTAGTGCCGGTGCTTCTGGGCAACCACTCAGCAAAACGACAAAGCCCCGCCCAGTAGTCCGTGGTTCAGCGAAAAGTACCTCCTCTGGAGTATGGACTAAAACAGGGCTATTTAAATCACGGTCCTCAAGGGCCAAGCACTGCTGATTTTCTAGCCTTCCTTTACCTTTGACCCAGGTGTGAAGCCTCTGGCCAATCAGAATTGGTAATTATTACTACTGGGGAAAATTGAACACAAGGCCTAGATTTGGCACTGAGGGTCAGATCTGAAGAGCCCTGGACTCAAAAGAAAAAAAAAAAAGGTTCAGAAATAACAGAACTGCAATGGGGCCGAGTTCCTGCGGTGGGAACACGGGAAAATTCCTAGTTCCTGAAAAAAGTTCCTGCGGTGGAAAAGCACCCAATGGCTCATTGTGGGGGGTGGGGGGGAGGTCATCCAGGGGGTTGTAGTGTTCTGTCAGCCTGATGAAAAACAGGGGACCTGAGGGTGTGTGTTGTGGGGGGGCGGGTTTCCAGACCTGGGCTGGTGATGCTTACCCCCAGGCAAAGTTTGCCCAGCCATAATGCTTATAATGGGCTGTGATGAGCGGGACCTAATTTTGTTTGCTGAGCCCCAAACAAAGAGCAGCCCCCCCCCTCATCATCACCCCCGGCGCTTACTGCAGGGATGGACTGAGCAAGGGAAAGAGAGAGAGACAGGTTACCAGGTGTGTGACGTCTGCCCCCTAGAGGCGTGGAGGTCCACTGTGCTGTGGGTGGAAGAGTAGGTGAGGTTGGGGGGAGGGCGACTGAGACTGCAGCTTGAGTCACCCGATCAGGGCATGTGGTGTGAGTGGGGCCGCTGGAACCTTAACTGGAAGGTGTGTGTGTGTGATGTCACAAAAAGAGCCGCGAAACATGTGCAGTCTGACATGTGACTGTAATTCTGCATGGGGGCCCTGCAGATACTCCTGCCCCCCCCCCCCCACCAGGCCCAAAAACATCCATGTGGGGGTGTGATGGAGGGCTGCAGACAGCTGGATTTAAACCCTCCCCCAAGGGACTCCCGGGGTCACCTGCACTACCCCCCCATCCCGGCGGTCATAAGGGCACCTCGCCACTTAGGGGGCTAGCTGGAAGGGAACACGGTCATTAACAGTGAGCCACCAGGGACGTTTCTCTGGGGGGGGTCTCTATTATGACTGCATTTCTGTCCTCCTCGCCCCCCCCCTCCCGCCACACACACATACACACACATGCACACACTCCCACTGGTGCTGTCAGGGACAACAGGACATATTTCTGGCCCTGGAGTGGCAAAATTGTACGGTGACAAATTGTGACAGGTGACATGGCTGTCAGGGGGGACCAAACAAACACAGTTAGTGTTTTCTGTGTGTGTGTGTGTGTGTGTGTGTATGTGTGTCTGGAAACGGCACGCTTATATGTAATCTGAACATGTGAATATTGAACACGGGATTTTATGGACTTGTTTATCAGAAACCCATTTGCCTGTCAGAAATGGTGGGTTGTTGAAGCATCTTATTAAGGTTCAGGTTGGGGGACTGTAAATAAACCCCCCCCTTCCCTCCCACACCCACACTGGTAAATCTGTCTACATAAACCGAACCGGAGGAAAAAAAATAACAAAAAAAAAACCCAGAATGCTTAAAATAAACCCCGAAGCGATGAGCCTGTCTTAGGGTTCAGAACCCAAACCCTGCTGTGATGCTCGGCAGCTGCTCACCTGCCCTGCCTTGCCAGCAGAGGCGTGACGTAAATAAGCGTTCGGCGTTAAGATGCTCCAGTTACTGACGCCGCTGATTGGTGAGAATCAGGCCCCGCGCCGTGCTCGCCGTCTGACATCCGCCCGCAGATTCCATAATTAGGGTCCCAATTAGGCCCCCGCCGACCCGCTTTGTTTACTTCTGTTTGTTTTTCTTGTTTTCGGTCTGAGCAGGCGCCGTCCATGGGAACGTGGGCTGCGGCCGCCGTGTGCCGCTAATTACGGGGGCCCTCATTCGCAGCCCGGGGTCCCTGATGTCGGCGCGGCGGCCGAGGAGACGGGGTGGGCTAATAAGCAGGATCGCCGTGGCGACGGCGCGTGCAATAATCACGTCGGCTGATACATTAAACATCGGCCTGGCGCGGCGACGCCGGCGGCCATCATGCTAATTACCACTGGCTGGGGTGCTGCTCGCTGGCCGGACCCGCCGTTTGCACGGAGCAGGGGCCGTGTTTCCGGTGCAGGGGTGCATGGTTCGGGCCGGAGCCTTAATGACCCCTCCAGAGGAGGCATCAGAGGATTAATTATGCACTCGACATTCCAGCCGTTAGCTAATTGTGTGGTGGGAGGGAATCCAGCTGCAGGTGCTATTCGCATCTCCACAGTCCATGTGACCCCCTCCCCCATGCGAGTCCTGTCAAATCCATTGGCTTGATGACAGGACCCCCCCTCCCCCGTCAACCCCCCTGCTCTCAGTGCTTTATCGCAGGGTTTGAATTAAACACTGACCAGGTTCTTGTCGGGGTTGGAACAGAAGTGGGGGGGCTTATCAGTCTGATGGGGTTCTTGGAGACCCCCAGCCAACCCGGTGGCTTTAAAAATAAATTGCTGTTGGGGGACACGGTGGCCTGGTGTGGGGCTGGGTTCCACTGTCACTCGCCACTGTCCCTCCCCCTGGGTAATTTGATAGCGGGCGATAAAGAGGGCGGCGCACCTGCAGTGTGGCTCGCAGGATGAAAGGCGGCCATGAAGCAGGGAGATAATCTGCAAACAGATTTCCATGCTTATTACACTAATGATGCGGCGGCAGTGGTCGTGGAGGCTGCACCGGACGCGTCCGGACCCCCCCCCCCGCCCGGCGCCCGCTCATCGGCGCTCCCCTCTCATCTGCTGGCGCTATTAAACCATGTAGTAATTTGAGTGACCCCTGACCAGGTGCCGGCCACTCGTAATAGCATGTCATCCTGATGGGGGGGGGGGACCGTGCTGGATTCTGTGCCCCCCCCCCCCCCCCAAGCCCATCTCTGTTCTCCCCCCAGCTTTGCCATTTTCGGCTCGAGTGTTCGGTGAAGAGAGGAGTGAAGAGAAGAAAACCCTAACAAAAGAAATATTGCATTAATTTTCAAATGATGATATTACATTTAGCGTGGGGCCCTCATATATCACGGTGCGAGAAGCCCTCCGTTACTGTATGCGCTTAATCTTAATGGTATCGCTGGATGTCAAGGGCGTGCAGGAAATTAAATCGGAAAGTGCAGATAGACCAAAGCAGATATTATCTCTTGGTGATTGTGCTTTTGATAGGTATTTCACTGAATTTCATTTTCTCTCGATGGAGAGAAGATGAGTTAGCCTGCACATTTTTTCATTTTTCTTCTACATGATTTATGTGAGTTGAGTATAAAACTTTTTTTTTTTCCCCTGACCCCCCCCCCCCCTGCCCACCACGCTCTGACACACACGCCCCTCCCTCTGTAGGGGCAGCAGTTGCACGCACACACGCGCTCAGATTTTCTGAAGACGTATTAAATGGGTGCTGTCATCCTGTTCCGCCACCCTGTGTCCATGCTGGCATGGGGGGGGGGCGGGGCCAGAGACACACAGGCGTACACAATATCCGGGTTTTAGCCCATGTGTGTGTGTGTGGGGGGGGGGGGGGGGTTCGGGGGGGTTGGTATCATTACTCAGGGTTGTTTACATTCAAAATACGTAATGAAATCTGTTTGCAATAATGAAGGAAATCAAAGTTTGGGGAATTGTAAAAGTGGTGAAGTTTGAGAAATGAGTCAAGGCCTCTGAAATAACATTTAGGGCCAGGAAACGATGTTATTATGCAGCGTTTGTGCCTGCTGGAGACGTGAAGATGAACAGCTCCGAGCCCATAAAATGTTGTTAGTGCCGTCCTGAAGTATGGCGCGTTGTAAAGGAGCGCCGATTCGTATCGAGATTATATATAAAAGTATATCTATGCACAGCGTTATTTTTTTATATGTAAGACGAGAGACGCGGAGACTCGACCCCTGATAGGCAGGATGGTAATAAATATATAAATAAGTACATTACAGAGGGAGGCGTCTGTGCCCTGATCTTATAGACTTGGATATTAAAAATGGGAATATTGCATTTAAGGGGTACGTATTTTTCTTCTTTAAAAGCGCCAGGAGCAGCCTGGTCCTTAGTAACAAATGAAAAAGTCAGAGTAAATGAAAAACAAAAATAAAGCTAATGCATTGCAGCCAGAGCATGCTGAAGGTCATTGGAGCGTTTTTGGGGGATGTCCCCCTGTCCGTGAAGGGCTCTCGTGTGCCTAGCAAGGCGGGCGAGATAGGAGTGGTGCTGCGCCTCTTACAGGCTAGTGCTGAGACCTATTGGTCGCCAAGGCAACAGGTCTTTGGGTGCACAAGGAACGCCTCTAAACTTGTCGTCCTCTGCTGTTCTCTTATTTTTGGGAGCCCTTGTCCCTGACGGTCTGAGATGGACGGAGAGTAATAGCGATGATGAACTGCTTATTAATGGGAAAGGTTGTTCGTGTGACTGATCGGTGTTGCCGCGATGATGCAGAATGCCTGGAGAGGAAGCTGAAGGTCCGGTTCCAGCCTGTCCGGTTCCAGCCTGTCCGGTTCCATCAGTTCTTGTCGGCTTGGTTTCCAGCATGAGTTGCCGCTTTTTGTTAGCTGGGCTCTCCTTGTCCTGTGCCCTGCACACCGTGCTTAAAGCCCAGGCGCTTTATCTGACGCACGGTGCTTTATGTCCTGTTCCTGTGATGCCACCATACTGTGCCTGAGAGTAACATGGTCCCACCTCGTGGCGTCCACAGGAATGCCCGCGCCATCCCCCAAGCTTATAATCACTGTGAGGTTGGAACCCACTACGTCCATGTGTGTCTGCCGGATCGCCAGCTTATTTATAGGCTGTGGTGATCTGCTCCGTGTTTCGCGCAGCGGGAAGGGGGTCCAGGTCTCTAACAGATAGCCGTGTATATTAGCTTCACCCTCCCAAAACAGCGCCTCTCAAACCGCTGCAGCAGATGTTGTCTTTCACTCCGGTTCCACATGCCAGCTTTAAGCTCCAGTGTTTCTTCCTTTTGTTTACTAGTTTTGTGCTTCGACTCCTGAATGGTGACCATCAGGACCGCTTCACTAGATAGCCGACAGACCCATTTAAAGAAACATTTATATAACAGCACGGACTGTGGAGTGTGAGTGCGCTGGTGGGTAATTGGATTTCTCTCGGGGGAGGTTCACACCCCTGTTCCTGGGACGATAATGCCCTGCCTGTGAACGATTAGCCTGTGGTGTTAGCGGGTCAATCCTGTTCTGGAACCTTCTACAGAGGCTCATTGACATCAGCAAAGTCTCAGAATTGTACCTCATCTGTACCCCTCATATCCGCTTACACTCCATCTGTACCCCTCATTCCTGCTTGTCTCCATCTGTACCCCTCATATCCGCTTACACTCCATCTGTACCCCTCATTCCCGCTTGTGTCTTCATCTGTACCCCTCATATCCACATGTGCCCCCACCTGTACCCCTCATATCCGCATGTGCCCCCACCTGTACCCCTCATATCCACGTGCCCCCACCTGTACCCCTCATATCCGCTTGTGCCCCCACCTGTACCCCTCATTCACCCTTGTGCCCCCACCTGTACCGCTCATTCCCTCTTGCGTCCCCATCAGTACCTCCTCATTTCCTCTTGTGCCCTCGTCTGTACCCCCTCATTCCAGCTTGCGCCTCCACCTGTACCCCCCATTCCCGCAGGGAGGTGCACAGCCCCACCACACCACCCTCCGATTTACGCTAATGCTGCTTGACGGCTGATTATCGCAGTCAAGTTATTAAAACGCCTCTGTTATTGTTATTGGTGATATTTTAATGAGGCGTTTTATGGAGTCCAGGGGGAGGGGGGGTTTGAGGAGATCCCTAGGGGGTGTGTCATTTAGCAGCAAGGAGACAATAAGCCGTGGGAGGGGCGGCAGGATGCGGCCCCTTCCAGGCAGCCAGTGGCCGGGTGCCTCATTACGGCCCATGGCTGCGCATCTTCGACACAGCAATGAAGATAAATTTCTGCTCTATGCTGCAATTTCACTCATAAAGCAGATAAATTTGTTTCTTCTTTTTTAAAACCCCACCCGTGTTTCTCACACAACACAACTGATCCCTTCCTAGTGGTGGCATGAGAGTGTCTTGGGGTTTCTCTGGGCCCCCCTCCCTGCTGAAACACAGGGACTCAGCTGGGGGCTTCAGCGGTTAAAGTCAGGAGCCATCCCCGGGGAGTGCAATTAAGGGCTTATTGATTATTAATGAATTAATGAGGGTGACTTTCTGAGCCTGAATGGCACATGTCACCCCCTCCGTTTAGGAAAAGGCAAATTTATCTGTGCATTTCATACACAGTTCTTATTCAGAGTGGGTCACAAGAACTTCATGAAATTCCGATGTAAATTCACAGTTTAGACAATTGATTAAAACCTAATTAAAAGTGAAATACGTTTTAGGATGTATAAAAGCAGTGTAAAACCAGAATTCTGCTCTGAAGCCGTCAGTGTCACTTAGTGAGTACTGCCATAGTTGCCTAATCAGAGCTCAGAGCCCTGGGCTCTCCACAATTATTGGTTAATTTTTCCAAACTAAGCCTTAATTGTTTTTTTCTTGTGTTGCAGAAGACATTTGCAATTTTCTTATTTTGGAGGAGAAAATAACCCAACGTAATTTCAGAGCCCCTTTGTGCCCTGCTCTACAGCGCCTCCTGCAGGACGGTGGGGCATGTGTTTCATGTGTAGAGTCAGACCCCCAGCCGGAGCTGTTCGGTTTTTAGTTTTTCGACAGGGGCGTCATTTTCGCAATTTGATATGTTTATCTAACTGTGTCCATTTGTCATGTCGTGCGGCGACTTTCCTGCACTGTAATGCCGCATCCTAATTCTGTTTTTCACGGCGCTGGGGGGGGGGTGGGTGGCAAAAATTCTCCTGCGGAAATACGTACAGTGTTATGTAGTCTGACGGGTGCCTGGGGGCAGTGTAAACAAATGCTAATGTAATTATGCGGGAAATGTTATAATAAACTGTAACTAAGATGATTGCTGTCTGCCCCATTTTTCAGCCTCTGTTAGTCCTGCTGGCTGCTTAGCACGGCCGGACGAACTCTTGTTGTGAACAAGTGACCCAGCATGAAATTGGGTCCCCTCTACGGCCGCCTCTCTCAAACCCATGGGTTGCCGGTTCGAGGGTTATTCTGAAGACAACTTGCTACCCAGGATTTCTGGTGGGGGTGGGGGGGGTGTGATGCGTCTGTCACCCAGCATGGTGACACTTTTACATTAAAGCAGATCATTATGTTTCCTTGGCTCCCCGGAAAAGATGACGTTTTTACAAAGTGACGAGTTTAGCGTTCGATAAATCAGATTTGCGCTGAATAATGAGCGGCGGGCTGTCAGCGGGCCCCGTGCGCCGTGTCCAGGCCGCTCCTCGGCGCCGCATTCGGATTTGATCCTATTAGCATTTAATTTCTGCGTGATCCTACACGTTCCACTCGGCTGCATTTTAACGAGTCCGCGCCCCAGAGCCACAGCGGTCTGGGCCTTTATAACTTGCCTGACAATCCTTCTTTCGTGACAATTAATACCCTCAAATCTAATAGTGGCCATATTGGAATTACGGCTAAACCTTTGGAAGTATGTCAGAAAACTGCTTAGTTCTATGGTACGGCTGTCGACGCAGTGCTCTTGAAAGCGCAGCCTTGTCACCTGTATCTTCAGCGTTGCCGATTCCTCTTGCTTTCCTGGGCTGTTAACTCCCAGCCGACATACCTTGGCTGATTGTACCCTCCCACTCTGCAGCGGGAAGGCAGCGGTAATGTCCACCATGACTGTAGTTCTCATCTGTGTGAGCTGCTCCCACTCAGTGTGGTTCATGTTCTGACCTGACTCTCAACCCCACCCCACCCCCCACCCCCCATGTGAGTAACATTCTCCAACGTATCACTCTTTTGTCCTCTTTTTCAGACCCCAGCAGAGCAAGCGAAGGCTAGACTCCAGCTAGTCCTACAGGCAGCAGGTGAGTGGCCGAGCTTGCGTGAGATCGAAGGTCACATGCTATTATTTTCTAAAGTCCTAAAGGCAGACCGAGCTCTCGCATTGTGTGAGAAGACATAGACCCCATTTCCCAGGACTTCATGAGCATCTGTGATGATGTGGCGTCAGATTCAGATGTCAGGGCTGTGGGAGCTGGAGGCCAGCGTCTCTGTGACCTGTAATTTCCCCCTAGGTTATTAACTAGGGTTTCACCTCACTCTGAACTGTCAGTCACTGATTGGCTGAAAGTCACTTCTGTTGGTGCCCATTGGATAAAACCAATTGATTGACAGCATATGGAAACTCTTAAACTATTAAAGGGGTGGTACTGCGGCAGCACAGAAAACAGTTTTTAGAGACTGTAAATTATACTTTAACCTTTTTATCTGCTTTCTCAGCTGTACATTTAACCACAGAATTTCAGGTGAGGAACTTTGCTCAAGGTTACAAAGTGTTAAACCTGGAACTTTCAGGTTGCATTTACATCACATTTACACTCATTTATTTAGCTGGTGCTTTAGTCCAAAGCAACGTAGGCGTGCGGAAAGCTAGGGGTCAGAGCGCGGGGTCAGCCAGTATCCCTGGAGCAGGTGAGGTTAAAGGTCTTGGTCAATGGTGCAATGATTACTCTGCCGGCCGTGGGGTTTGAACCCACAACCTTCCGGACACAGATCCCGAATCCGCTGAGCTGCACACCTCCCGGTCCAGAAGCGGGAGATGTCTGAGAACATGAACAGGGCCAGAGAGTTGTCCCTGCAGTCCCCCAAGATGTCGTCTCCAAACTCTCCTCCCCTCAAGTCGTGTTGGGAGCATTGCAGACTTCGGGAGGTCCGTGTAACCTTGGCAACTGCGATCGGACAGAAGCAGCCAGGGCTCTGCCTGGAATGTGACACTTAGAGAGACTTATTGCCAGGTGTGCGTAGGGCGGCTCGGTAATGCGTGCGAGCGTCTCTCCGCCCAGACAGCCTTCACACACGCCGGCCATGCCGCTGCTTGTGGTTTTAGTGTGTTCCGTAATGACCAGAAAGGGAAGGGCCGCATTCTCATATTTCATGTGAATTGTGTATATTATGTTCCACGTCTTTTGAAGTGTATAATTATGAACCAGATGTGACAGCCCAGAGCTGCGTACATCCCAGCTGTCAGACGCGTTTTTTTTTTTTCTCTCGCATGTACACGGTGGAAAATTATTGAAGGTACTGGCCGGTTATGTATCATGTCAGAGTAGCCCCTCCTGCTGGTGGTCCTGAGAGATGCCCTGTCCCATTAACACACCTTGGGGGGGGGGGGGGCGGCGAATGCGAGAGGGGTGGATCGTGGGGGGGCAGGGGGATGAGGTGGCCGGGCCGGGCCGTGCCTGCGGCCGCCATCGCTTCCAAGTTTATTTAGCGATTTCCGCCACGGCCCTTATGAGTAATCTGTGTTTACACAGTGCCGGTGCTGCGTCTCGATGGAAAGGGGAGCGGCGGCACTCGCAGCTGCGTAATTAAAACGGAAACGGCCAGCCCCGCACTCATGTCACGGGGCCTGGGGCTCTCAATGTCCCGGTAATCACCGCGGCCAACCATAAAGTACCCCTGGGTTGTTGGCCAGGATTTACGTGAGTTTGTCTGGCCGCAGACGGCCAGATGTTGCTGTGTTTCATGTAGTCGCGTCTCTGGCTTTCCTCTTTCTCAGAGTGGTCCCTAATAACGCTTTTATGGCAGGCCTGAATCGCTGGGGGCCTGTTCCTCTGGGCGAGGTCCGCCTGGGATTCCGCCTGCCTTTCCACAGTGATGACTCCTTTTTCTATTTTTTCCTCCCTTTCTCTCTCTGTGTGCCCAGGCTGTCGGTCCGCGCCGACCCTCCCCGCCTGCAGCCGCGTTCCCTCTTCCCCTCGTACACCTGCAGTGGCTGTTCTCGGGTCAGCGTTGACTTCCAGTGTTTCTCCGAGTGTGTTTGCGGGAGGTTGAGGTCAGAGTAGTTTTCGCTGACTGCCTGTCGGAAGCCGGCGTCTGGAGCTGTCCTGCTGTGGATTCACTGGATCCCAGTGTGTCTGATGCTTGAACCGAATCCCGTCTGTTATCGCTGGCAGTGGAGGTGAGGAGGGAAATTACGATGAAGAGTGTCCCAGTATGACCCAGGTCCCCCGCCCCCCCCCTCCACTTTTGGCCTGGCTGTCCCCTCTGAACAGATGTTGTTCAGCCTGTGAATGTCACTGTTGTGTCGGAGAGCAGTGCTTAAGCCCCCTTCTCTTCTGTGTGCCCCACAGTGCTTCCAGCCCCCCCCCCGTACCCGCTTTGTGGGGTCTCCTGAGACCCACAAAGCCGATCCCCTGCCCCCTTTTTCCTGGTATATGGACTCTCCCCAGTCAGTGGACAGCTGATGATGTGCGGCTCAGATCGGGCCGCCCATTGTGTCGGGTGGTAATGAGGCCCCCGGCGGGCGGGGCGGGGGGGGGTGGGCGCTTTAATGGCCGTCTGGCCTTTGTGCGAGCTGCGTTGGCTTTGTGCAAAGACACTGTAGCACTATGTTTACGGGTCACTTCCTGCCTGGCCCGTGCATGCACACGCATGCACAGTGCACATGGACACACACTTGTGCGTGGGCAGCCTACCCCGCATCCTCCTACCTCCATAACCCCCCCGTCCCCCAGTTTTAATGATGGATAAATACCCCACGACTGGGGAGTCTGGGCCAGCACAGCCCTGTGGGAATGCTGGGGGGTATCGCCGCTTCTTTAAAAATGCTGCCGGTCTGCAGTCCGCAGGGTCCGTCGCCAGGCGACTCCCGTAAACAATGTTTCTCTTTCTTTATTTAAGCTGCCTCCCCACTCCCCCCGCCTCCCCCCTTCCCCCCCCAATAATCCTCAGTGTAAATACTGTGTTTTAGCCCCCCCAAATCACTCGGGCCCCTCAAACCACTTACTCCTCTTCAGTCAGCCATTGCTTGCACACTTGCACACTCGCACACACACGCTCGCCATGTGCTCACCAAGGAGGGGGTGAGGATCTTGCCGAATAAACCTTTTCCCGACGCACCCGCCCTTGATCTGCGCTCTGCCTGAAATCGTGGTGTGTGAGCAGCCCAGAGGTTAATGGTCAGAAGACTGTGGGCATCGCTGCCGCTGCCCCAGAATTCCCAGTCCTTCAACTTGCCGCACCAGTGTCTTGTCAGAGTGCGTGCACCATTTAAATACTGCATGTGGGGACCCCCCACCCCCCAAAAAAGTACTTAATCAAAACGGTTGGAAATTTGTGCGTAGCGATAAGAAATGATGTTCTGCTGTGCAAAACTGACATTATGATGTGGGGACCCCCCCCCCCCCAAAAAAAAAAAAAAAGCTGATCTTCGTATTTGCAAGGCACCAGGGGGTCAAGGGTCGAGCTCAGCGACCTTGTGGTTTTATTAATTCACACACAGTAGATGAACGTGCTGTGTGTCCTGAACACAGCGGGGGACTGAACACCACATGCACGGGGTGGGGGGGGGGGGGTGGTGACATCTTCCTTAGGTGTGCCAGTGTCATCTTATTGGACTGGTCTTAGCTCTGTTAGCTGGGACAGGCCAGTAGGCCGGACTGGAAGTGGCTCCCTGATTCACTATATGTTACACAGCTGTGTGATGGGAGTGAGGCGCGTTTCCATAGCTGTAAGCCTCAGGTGTCAGTGGGAGGTTATTCTGGAAGCTCTTACTTCTGTTAGACTCCAGCCTTGCATGGGTCCTTTCTGACCCGCCTCCCCCCATGGATTTCCCTCCTGTCTGGCAGGGACGTAAATCGCATCGCATTAGAATATGTAAACATCGATACACCGAAGCATCAGACGTAAGAGGGGGCTGTTTCCTGTTCTGTCCCCCTCAATGTCTCAGTCTCGATTAATCAGGTCAGTGGTAGATAAAGACAGTTTGGGGAATAGATCGCTAAGAATGGTTGATTATTAATTAGATTTATGGGGGTTGTGTTCTTAATCAGGTGGATCCTGACTTAGTAAATTGACTTTTGTGGGGGAATGGGGGGGGCATTCGGACGATGAAAAGGGAATCGTAAGGTGCTTCTGTTTAACGTAGCTAATTGCGGGAGACTGCCTATAATTTAAGGACTGTAGCCATCGATCTGTGGGATTTATGGGTGATTACCTCACCGTTACAGTGGGGCCCGTTATCGAGGCTCACCGCATAAACGGAGGCTCCCTGAATTAGCTTTTATCAAGGGGCTCCACAGATACACTTAACCGTATTAGAGTGACATCAAGGGGCATCGAGCGAGATATCCGTCAGTGGGTATTATGGGATGGAGGAAAGAAGCACAGGGGTCCGTGGACCTTGTTAATCCCAAGATGGCTTGGGCCACGTTGTTGTATCAGGGCCGGGCTGTCATCGTGGAGACGACCCTCTCGCGTGTGTCAGTCGTTTTTCTAATGTCTGATTCCCGTTAACGATCCACTTGAATTCTGCTGCTCCTGGGCGTGATGAAGGGTGACGATGAGGGTAACAGTATGTCTTACATGTTTTAGATACTACTCTCTTTTGAACTAAGATCAGATCACATTTCAAGGCAAAATGTTGAAATGTAGAAAATTTCAACTAACAGCAGGGAGGGGTGGGGTGGCTTCGTATAGTGTTCATTGTGATCCCTGAGTCTGTCTCAGAGCGTCGGTGCCCCTGAGTCTGTCTCAGAGCGTCTGTGCCCCTGAGTCTGTGTCAGAGCGTCGGTGCCCCTGAGTCTGTGTCAGAGCGTCGATGCCCCTGAGTCTGTGTCAGAGCGCCGGTGCCCCTGAGTCTGTGTCAGAGCGCCGGTGCCCCTGAGTCTGTCTCAGAGCGCAGGTGCCCCTGAGTCTGTCTCAGAGTGTCTGTGCCCCTGAGTCTGTCTCAGAGCGTCTGTATTCCTGCTTCTCGCCGTTTCACTGCTAGGATGACAATCCACTGTAAGAGACCTGCTATGTGTCCATTTCCCTTTGCGTCATGCGAGATACAAAGCCTGCCTTCCCCTCCCTCTGTCTATCT